ATTACCGTTCCTTCCGGTACGGACATCTGATGACGAAGCGGCGGCGGTTCCCTGGTACGTAATTGCTTTCGCAATTTTTGTGGCGTGTAGATTGAGTGAAGGCCGAAAATTGGCAGAACTAGGAAAAGCATTCGGTGGGTTGGACTCACTGATGAAGCTCAGAATTGAAAAATGAAGAAAACGTTGAAACGTAAGGCCGTCGACACTAACAAATAAAAGATCACCCACCAACCTGTACGCCACAAAAGAACACACAAAATCTACCAAGAATGTTCACGTTCAAAACAGACAAAACTTAGAAACTATATTACAGTTATTTCTGTTCATGTCAGTTGGTTTAAGTTATAGTTACTTCTGTCCGATTTGTAGTGTTTGCATTATTTGGAGTTGATGCGCGACCTAAGCCTTTATACACCTCAGAGTGCTTTGCGTGAGAAATCTCAAGCGAGAGAAATTGGGGGAAAGTGAGAGGGGCTAGCCGTGTAGCGCAGCGCAAGGCTGCGTCGTGCTTCAGTAATTACCACACAGTGCGGTTGCGAGCAATTGTCCGAGTATGAATCGACCGCCTCTCCGTTTTTGGCTATGCTCTTCCACGTAGTGGCCGGTTTCTGAGTGCTTCTGAAAGCTCTCCAAACTGTGTGAATATAATGTGGAATAAACTTTTTTGGTTGTGCATGTGATAGGTAAACATTTCCATACTCTGTTCCTCTAAAAACCTTTTTCGACGAGTTACAGGTAGGATGTCATTGGTTGTTGCGCAAAATATGCAGGCTCACAGATCAGATACGAATGCGGTACAAACAGGTCATTTCACTTTTTTACCACCTATGTGAGCATTCGAGTTTAACTTTCTTAAGGATTAAATCTCCTTCGCGAAGCAGTCTTGCACCATTTCCCAGACTGTAGCTCTTGTAGTTCGAGGCGTTGCATTCATAAGCATTTGCAAGGAGCAGATTCACTATGGACTGATCAAATCTAAAATGTGCCTTTATTTATTTCAAATAACACAATCGCATCTCTCAATAAAGCATTACCTGTGACATTTAGCATACTCATTGTAGCGATCTATTCCGAATTCACAGGAAGATTTGGCTCCGGGTGGAGCTATGCAATGTTTTTCTAGACTGCATAGAACAAACCTAAAAGATTTTAATTCGAAGAGAGGACTGACAATGTGTGCTCAGACCATTTCAGAAATTCGATAGTATCCGCCGTCCCCACAATGAACATGAAGCTGGATCTCAGTTGCAAGCACGTTTCCTTTTTGATCTCCTCCATTTTTGTTGGAATGAATGCGTAGGTTCCTGCACAAATAGAATTTGTGAATTCTTTGAAGGTACTTGCATTATTTTAGAGTATCTGTGGTATAGGGTTGTAGAAAAAAAATAATCGGCTGCTTTGGTTTCACATGGGGATATTTCTCTCCGGAAACATTCTTTTGAATCAAAAGCGATGTATACATCATGTATTCGATGCAGGAATTTGCAGATTATGCATAATGCAAAGAAAGAGGAAGATTACGGCTAGCCTGTAGAATCATTTTTCTCTGCAAAGAAGCAGATGCACGATTGCTAGCTAAAA